GGTGCGTTCCTCCCAATATTGTTCAGGCTCTGCCAGAAACAGCCAGTAACAGGGTTCCAGTGCAGGTGGGGGGCAGATAGCCCGCAGTGGGTTCATTCATTCAACCCACCCAGGAGACCTGGAGGTCTGGGCTCCCCTCCCCCTCCCCCAAACCCCTCCCCCCAAGCAGGTCTGCAGCTCACTCGCACAGCGATGCTTCACCCCCTTTGCAGGAGCTCCCCCCTGAAGTCTGTGCTGTCTTCTCTGTTGTGGAGCTGCTGAGTCATAACTCAGCCCCCAGACAGAGAAATGGGGGAGGAAGAAGCCTCCAGAAATTACTCCCACATGTGCTGCAAAAGACCAGCCTGACGGATCAGGGACTCAGTCCTGGCTCCTCCCCTCTGTCACCATTCAGCAGGTGGGGCGAGGCCTGGTGTGGGACTGGGCCCTCCCCACGCCTGAGGGCCAGGCTGCACCTGCCCCAGCTGGGTCCCAGGCTGGGGTTTGGTGAGTCAAGCTGCCTGGAGGTTGCGTGCGTGGCTGCCAGTGACAGATGTGCTCTGAGACGCTCCCCGTGGGTGTCACCAGGCTTTCGCTGCGCTGCCTCGTGGAGGAGTGCGGATGATGTTCTGGGCTAAACCTTGGCGAACAGCGGCTTTATGGCCGACGGGGAAACGGAGGCTCAGAGTGCCTGCGTAAGGCCAGCCCAAGAGCACAGTTATGAAGGGTGGCGACTGGATTTGAACCCAGGTCACCAGGCTCTCTGGCCCGAGCTTAACCTGTGCTTAACTCCAGGCCTGGTGGTTTTGGTAATTAGAGGCTATTAGAAGCAAGGCCAGCAGGAGATTTGGGGCAGCAGTTACACCTCCACATCACCATGAAACCCAACCCAGACCCAGCAGCGGTGGGGGATTGTTCTTAGGGGCCAGGGGGTCCCCTCCAGTGGGTCCTCCACTGTGTATGGGTGGGGTGTCAGGCCCCTCCTCCACGGGGGTGTTTCTGGTTCTGACAGACCAGAGGTGGATGGGTCCTGCCAGCCAGCATCCTCCCTGCTGGTTGCCATGGCAACCGGGTTCCAGCTGGAGGAGCGGTTACCACTAACCCTGGCAGCTGGCAGAGAGGGAATGGGGAGGAGGTGAAGATGGGGTGGGGGAGGGCCCATGATGGGGGCAGGTCCCGCTGGCCTACGAGTGGGTGGGGTAGGAGACTCCTAAGGGGGGTGGGGGGCTTGCCTGGTGCCCCTTGCCCCCTTTCCCTGCTGGCGAGGTGGCTTAGGCCAGGACAAAACATCCTCCACCTCTTCGCGACCTGTGTGTCCACTGAGCCAGGCAAGTCGCGTCAGAATTTTCCAGAGACGCAATCCTCATGACAGTATTGCAGAAATAGGATTTCGTCTTCCCCTCATAGAGTAGGAAACTGGGTTTCGACAGGCAGATTCTCTTCCCCGCTAGCAAGTGACAGGTGTCTGACCCGGGCCTGGCTGATTTCTTCCTGAGGCCAGCAGCAACCTTTCACTCGGCCTGCTGCCTGCAGGGCAGGGTTCTAATGTGTCTGTAGGGTCTGGGCGTGTGGTGGCGGCCGCCCAGCAGCCCCTGGCAGTCCGCTGGCGGGAGCATGGCACTGGGGCGGCCTCCGCGGGCCTAAGCGTGTCCCAGCCTCGCATGGCCGCCCCTTAGGTCAAGGTCAGCTCTTTGTCGTTTCAAGCTTGGGTGACTGCCTGATGGGCAGCTCTCTCCCGGCCCTGCCTCTGGGGCCTTCTGCTCCCCGCGACCCCCAGCTGCCCTGCCACCAATGGCTGTGTGGCCTCCAGCAAGTCACGTAACCTTTCTGGGCTTCAGCTGCGTACCTGCACCACGAAGCCCAACCTTCAGGCTGGGTCTGGCTGTCTGTGCCTGAGCAGTGTCGTGCCCCTTGAGCCTGCTTTGCGGCCCCAGCCCTCCCCCAGCCGCGCAGCAGGCGCCCGGCCCACCTGGGACTCGGAGGCTGCCCGGGCCATGCAGTGGCTCAGACCAGCACGCGGCCCTTTGTCCTGACTCGCTGCTCCTGCCGGAGTGGCTTCATTTCCTCGCGCTTGGGAAATACTGCCTTTCACGCTCTGCACTGGCAGTAAAACAAGTTGGCTGCCTGGAGAGCGGGCAGGGCGCAGTCAGATAATGAGTTTGCTGTGCACCCAGGCCTGGGCGCCGCTGGGAGCTGCGGGCCGGAGGGCGTGCTGGGCAGCACGTGGCCCGCACCGGCCGGGGTCCGAGGGTCGAATTGTGCCCCGGAGCCCCAGCACAGAGGAGAGGGGGACACTGTGCACTGGGCAAAGGAGAGTGGGGGGCTGCTCAGAGCCCGGGGGGGCTGTAGGAGCGTCCTCATGCGGCCAGAGCGCCCAGACTGAAAACCGTGAGCACGACAGTCGCTCCAGCCACACGCGTGGCGGGGACAGCAGCTGTCCACTCCCAAGCAGCCCCCACACGCCTAGCACTTGACCAAGCACGGCAGGGGCCTTTGCCCGACTCCTCGCCACCACCCTAGGGCCACTTCACAGATGTGGAGGCTGAGGCTCTGAGGTCAGGGCAGCAGGCCCAGGCCCCATGAGGAAGAGGCCGCAGTGGGTTTGAGGCCGGCCCGCATGGAACCAGCCCTCGGCCGTCCCCACACCTCCGAGGGCCCAGCCTGCCCCGCAGGGGGCAGAGGGAGCCCGAGGGGCCCTGGCCCGGGCCCGCACCCGCCTGATGCGGCCTTCCCGCCACAGCTGAAGGAGCACCCGGAGAAGGGCGTGTACGTGAGGGGTCTGTCCATGCACACAGTGCACAGCGTGGCCCAGTGCGAGCGCATCATGGAGACGGGCTGGAAGAACCGGTCGGTGGGCTACACGCTGATGAACAAGGACTCCTCCCGCTCCCACTCCATCTTCACCATCAGCATCGAGATCTACGCTGTGGGTAGGTGGGGCCGGCGGGCAGGGGGCCGGCCGCCCGAGCCCAGGCCCGCTCTGCCTGCTGGGCCTCACCCCCCGCCTGCCCGCCTGCAGATGAGCGGGGCAAGGACCACCTCCGCGCGGGCAAGCTGAACCTGGTGGACCTGGCGGGCAGTGAGCGCCAGTCCAAGACGGGGGCCACGGGCGAGCGGCTCAAGGAGGCCACCAAGATCAACCTGTCGCTGTCGGCGCTGGGCAACGTCATCTCGGCCCTGGTGGACGGGCGCAGCAAGCACATCCCCTACCGGGACTCGAAGCTGACCCGGCTGCTGCAGGACTCGCTGGGCGGCAACACCAAGACCCTGATGGTGGCCTGCCTGTCGCCTGCCGACAACAACTACGACGAGACGCTCAGCACTCTGCGCTACGCCAACCGGGCCAAGAACATCAAGAACAAGCCGCGCATCAACGAGGACCCCAAGGACGCCCTCCTGCGGGAGTACCAGGAGGAGATCAAGAAGCTCAAGGCCATTCTGGCCCAGCAGATGAGCCCCGGGAACCTGTCAGGTAGGTGGGGGCCCTCGGCCCCCCGGGCTGGAAGCAGCGCCCCAGCCCCCCCGTGTCACGAGCGCAGGGCAGACGGCAAGGCCAGGCTGCAGCCGGCCCGCAGTGTCTGCCTCCCACAGGCCCAGGAGGGGGCCGGCCGGCATGGGCACCAGCGTGGCCGCGGCTGCACCCCGCCGCTGTCTCCGTGGCAGCATCACGACGCCTGCCGCTTGCAGGGGGCCACTCGCCCGACCCCCACCCCCGTTGGGCGCCTTGTGCTGGCAGGCTCAGGCCCAGGCGTGTGGCTGTTACCCGGCGGGCGGCGGCCCAGGCCCAGGGCCTGGGAGCTGAGGGCTCCGGGTTGCTCCCAAGCTGTCCTGGGGGATGAGGGCACGAGAGAGCCTGAACCTGCCCGCCACTGACCCGCCTCCCCCTGCCGAGCCAGTTACTCTTCACACACACTCCTCCTACCTGTCCGCCACACCCCATGCACCCCCACCCCCGGCTCCGTGAACCCGTGCCTCCACCTGCCTGTCCCTTCACCCCCTACCTCGCCACCCCTCGTCCAGCCACCTACCAGCGCACTCATCCACCACCCTGGGTGGATTGAGCCCACCCGCCCGATCACCCATTTCACCCGCTGACTCCTCCCTCTGCCACGCACAGGTCACCCCTGCAGCTTGGCATCTGCCTGCCCCGTGCCTCCTGAGCGGCGTCTTGGGGGAAGAGCTGTCTCCCTGTGCCAGGCGAGAGCGGCCAGTGTGTGAAGTGCACCAGGCTGCCTGGCCGGCGAGTGAGGGCGGTGGGCGGGGGTGGGGGAGGCCCAGGCGGGTGGGGCTGGGGTGGAGGGGCCCTGAACACCACCACGATGAGGGGTTCCACTCTGGCAGCCTGCCCCCTCCTGTTTTCCTGCTTCCCCACTCCTAGGCCACCTCACCCTCGATCGGTAAGAGGGAGCCCCATGGAGGAACCGAGGGAGGTGCCAGGAAGGAGTGGGGGAGGCCCTGCAGTGGGCCCCCCAGAATAGCAGCTAGTGCCTGTCCCTGCAGCCTCTGGTGGTCCTCACAGCTTTGTGGGGTGGGAGTTGTTGGGGTCCCCCTTCCTGAATTAGGAGCGTGCAGTTTGGCTGCTGAAGTGACCAGGGCGGGCGGCACAGAGAGCCGCAGGGGGCTGAGCCAGTTCGCACCCGGCTTCTAGCCCCTCCGGCCTCAGTCCCCCCATCTGCGGTGGAGATGCGCTGTGGGGCTGCATGTGGAGGTTGCGTGACGGCCCCTTACGCCATACACGGGCTCTTGCACTGGGCGCCCGGCTCTGAGCCCCCGGAGCTTCCACCACGGGCTGTGCCCACGGACGCAGGGTCCGCTGAGGCTCCCCCCGCCCCCCATTGCTCCCTCCAGGGAGGGCCCTAGGTGGCCTCTCCCGCCTCTCCGCAGCTCCTCCCGGTCCCCTTGCCGGAGTCATTCCCACCCCTCACTCCTTGGGCTGTGCCAGACCCTCCTGCTCTCGCTCCTAAGTGGGGGTCCCTCTGGCCTTGGGGCTCAACTCGTACGCCTGGTTTCACCACGTGGCCCTCGGCCTGGGCGCGGGACTAGGTCTGTGTAAGGGGGATGTGTGGTGACATGCAGAGGTCAATGCCGTAGAAAGAAAAGCCTGTGACACTCGGTTACCCTGGGAACGGCAGGCGGGTGGCATCCCAGGCCTTGGAAAGTGCCAGTGTTGCAGCCTCGGAGAGGCGAGAGGAGAGCCGGGTGTCTGTGGGAAAGGAAGGCGGGCGCAGGATACCGTTGAGGATTGTCTGGCGTGAATCATGCCGCCGGGGTTGTCCCGACTTGTCCGAGACCGGCCCGGGGGCGGCAGGGCAGGAAACGCTGGCTTGTGCGGGAGGAGTTGGCAGAGAGGAGCGTGGGCTGGGCGGTCTGATAAGGCGCGTGGACTGTCCGCAGGGTGAGTGCTGATGGCCGAGACCCAGCGCCTTGTCTCCCTGCCAGCCAGTTCCCTGCTGGCAAAGCATCATGGAATATTGGCAATTCAAAAGGAACCCACCTAGGAGCGATACACCATTGAATTCCAGACAGACGGACATCCAGCTGCCTAAGAATCATTCAAACGTCCAGTGTCTGAGCCCGAGATCTTGACCTTCCCCGAAGCCCCTGCCCACCCGGCCCCTCCTCTGTCCAGTCCTCCCACCCCACGTCAGCGTTCCTGGGCTGGGTCACCCCTCGGGGCTGGGTCAGTCCCTCTTGGGGTTCAAAGTAGGAAGCTTGGGGGCCCCACCTGGTGGCACAGTGGATTAAAGCTCAGCACTACAAAGCCAGCCCAGCTGCTTCAGCAGGAGTTCGGTTCCCCGCCAGGGAGTGACCCACAGAGCACGGCAGACCTCTCCTGACCCGCCCGCT